TTTGTAAAGAAAAGGTGAAAAAAAAGACAAAAATGTAAAGTAAGAAACAACAAAACAACAACAACAACAGACATTTGTTACAATGAGTAGAGAATAAAAAGCAAAACAAAACTAAATAATATTTGTTTTTGTAAACAGACGGGTTATGTCGTACATCAGTGTCCTCAGACAGTATCACAGAACAGTTCTTGATTATGTTGCACAACAGAGTTCCTTAATAGTGTTACTCAAATGATCGCTAAAAAGGCACTCATGCCACACAGAGTATCCTAATCATTTCAACACCAGCATTCTAAAATAGTGACAGATAACATCATCACAAACTATTTTTATACTGCAGTGTCCAAACATTGTGTCATATACTAGTGCATTAAAACTGTGTCACATAGAAATACCTTAACAGTTTTTATGATAATATTACACATCAGTATCGTAAAATAGTGTCATTCACAGTGTCCGAATGTAGTACGAGCATTATCATTCTAAGATAAAATCAGGATCCTAAGATAATGTAATAACAAAATTCTAAAACGTATTGCCCAATAGTATCCAAAAATGATGAGGACGGATGTGGTTTAGTAGTTAGTGTGAATCCAAAAATTTATGGTTCGTGGCCTGTTTGAAATTTCTGAAAAAACAATATTATTCGAAACCCGTCACCGAATATGCTCGCCCTTTCAGGCGTGGAAGCATAATAATGTGACGGCCAATCCCATTATTCGTTGTCAAAGATTTGGCGGTGGACGGTGTTGACTAGCTGCCTTCCCTCTAGCTATCACTTCAAAATTAGGGACAACTAAAGTAATGTAGTTTTCTCCCGTCGGCGCTGTGGTCGCTTGACATACTTGCCGAGTCTGAGTGGGTCGGGCTTTAGATCTGGAAGGGTCAGGTGCTTTCAAATACCTCTTCCTCCGTCCAGCACGGTTGTTATAACGCAAAAAGTACACCACCAGTGTCTGCTAAATGCTAGACGAATTATATGTTAGGGTTGTGCACCTATTACAGTCATTAATTTTAACAACCTTTTTCGTAGCCACGTCCGTTCATGTACCACGTATAGCATTTTATGTCGTAATATACTTTTCTTAGCTTGGTCTGTATAACCCTACACATGACAAACATGTATAACCCTGCACATGACAAACATGTATAACCCTACACATGACAAATATGTATAACCCTACACATGACAAACATATATAACCCTAAACATGACAAAAATGTATAACCCTACACACATGACAAACATGTATAACCCTACACATGACAAACATGTATAACCCTACACGTGACAAACATATATAACCCTACACATGACAAACAGGTATAACCCTACACATAACAAACATGTATAACCCTACACATGACAAACATATATAACCCTACACATGACAAACATGTATAACCCTACACATGACAAACAGGTATAACCCTACACATGACAAACATGTATAACCCTACACATGACAAACACGTATAACCATACACGTGACAAACATATATAACCCTACACATGACAAACATGTATAAACCTACACATGACAAACAGGTATAACCCTACACATGACAAACAGGTATAACCCTACACATGACAAACAGGTATAACCCTACACATAACAAACACTTATAACCCTACACCCTTTCAGCTATGGGGCATTATAATGTGTTGGTCAAGCCCACTATTTATTAGTAAAAGAGTAGCCCAAGATTTGGCGATGGGTGGTGTTGACTAGATGCCTTTCCTCTACTCTATCACTGTTCATTAGGGATAGCTAGCACAATAGCCCTCGTGTAGCTTTACACGAAATTCAAACTAAATCAAACCTGTCCAGGGCAGAACAGGTATTATCTTAAAGAGAACAACAAAGGAACAAAGGCAGCTAGAACGAAATCAATATAACGGGTTTCTCGACCGAGTGTTATATTAAATTGACACATATACTGTATAAATGACAAATTCAGAATAAACGCTATAACATTACAAGGTTTTTGTTTGTTTTGTTATTTAGCATAAACATACACAATAGGCTACCTGTGCTATGTCCTCTGCAAGTATCGAAACCAGATTTTTAGCATTATAAGTCCTCACACATATCGCTGAGTTGCCAAAAGAAAATATTACATGGCATATTTATACACCACAATACAAATGGAAACTGTTTTAAATCAGAACGTAAGAAATTCACATTTTGAGGTTGAATTATTTATAAAGTTTCGAAGAATATGAAGTTAAAAGTTTCGAAAGTTAAAAGAAAAGCTATTGTTTCGTCTCCGTTTGTTAATTAACTTTAGCAACACAAATCCTTACTTAATAAAACTGGTTTATTCTTTCCGAATACAACTTTACGATACACTTATTTTCAACAATCACGCTAAAACAAACGCTATATCAACGAACGTCAACAATACTTCTGACTGCAGTTCAATTACTC